CCAAGAAGGGCTCATTGTCCCCCGGGCTGGGAACAAAGCGCCTCCTCTTCGCCTCCGCCGCTCCCAAATCCCCGCGGCACGAACGCGCCGGGGCGGCCCCGGGGCCGGGGGGACCCGCGGGGACTCCGGGCCGCGGCCACGCCCGGGGGGGGCGGCGGGATTTGGGGTTTTTCCACCCCAAATCAGGTGTGGGGCTGGCGCTGATCCCACTCCCACCCAGCCCGTCCTTAGGTGGGGTCCCGGCTCTTCCCGGGGGTCCCAGCCCAGCCCAGCCCAGGGGTCTCAGCCGTTCCTGGGGGTCCCAAACCTTCCCGGGGGTCTCAGCCCAGCCTTTCCCGGGGGTCCCAGCTTTTCCCGGGGGTCTCAGGGGTCTCAGCTATTCCTGGGGGTCCTAAACCTTCCCGGGGGTCTCAGCCCTGCCTTTCTCGGAGGTCCCAGCCCAGCCCGGGGGTCCCAGCCCTTCCTGAGGGTCTCAGCCATTCCTGGGGGTCCCAAAGTTTCCCGGGGGTCCCAGCCCAGCCTTTTCTGGGGTCTCAGCCCAGCCCGGGGATCCCAAACCTTCCCGGGGGTCTCAGCCCTTCCCGAGGGTCCCAGCCCAGCCTTTCCCGGGGGTCCCAAACCTTCCCGGGGGTCTCAGCCCTTCCCGAGGGTCCCAGCCCAGCCCAGCTCAGACCGGGGGTCCCAGCCCAGCCTTTCCCGGGGGTCCCAAACCTTCCCGGGGGTCTCAGCCCTGCCTTTCCCGGGGGTCCCAGCCCAGCCCGGGGGGTCCCAGCCCAGCCCCGCGCCCGGCACAAACCCGAATTAAGCTCAATAAGCGTTGAAATTCAATTAGTGAAACTGCATTAAAGCCCTGCGAGGACACGGCTCGGGGTGGAAACGGCCTTAATGTGATTTCGGCCGCGTTCCCTGCCGCGATTTGCAAGTCAGAGAAATCGAATTACGGCTGTTTGCATTCTGAGCTCTGGCCCCGCAGTGCAGCTTAATTAATCTGCTTTAAAAGCCAGCCTGCCTTCCGCTCAGCCAGCCCCGGGCGAGCCAAAAATCCCCCCGGGCGGGCACCGGGACCCCGGGCGGGCACCGGGACCCCGGGCGGGCACCGGGACCCCGGGCGGGCACCGGGACCCCCGGGCGGGCACCGGGACCCCGGGCGGGCACCGGGACCCCGGGCGGGCACCGGGACCCCGGGCGGGCACCGGGACCCCCGGGCGGGCCAGGTTTGGGGTGGGTGGGAGGATCGCGGAGGTTTTGGGGAGCAGCGGGACCGTCCCCGGTGCCAGCGGGGATAACCCGGGTGCAGCCCCGAGCGGAGCCCCCCGTGCCGGGCTGGGCGGTGCCCGCAGCGCCGCGGGGGCAGCGGGACCGGCCCGTTCTGCCCGCCCGGGGCTGCCCGGTTCTCCACGGTGCTACCGGCCCTTAACGGTGCTTCCATTCCTGCCCTCCCGGGGACAAATCCTGCCTTCCTCGGGACAAATCCTGTCCTCCCGGGATAAATCCTGCCCTCCTCGGGATAAATCCTGCCCCCTCCAAGACAAATCCTGTCCTCCCAGGACAAATCCTGCCCTCCCCGGGACAAATCCTGCCCTCCTCGGGATAAATCCTGCCCTCCCCGGGACAAATCCTGCCCTCCCCGGG